ATGCCCAGCTCATTTTTGTATTTTTAGTAGAGACGGGGTTTTGCCGTGGTGGCCAGGCTGGTCTTGAACTCCTGACCTCAGGTGATCCACATGCCTACGCCTCCCAAAGTGTTGGTATTACAGGCATGAGCCACCATGCCCAGCCTGGAAATGGAAGTTTGACAGAGGTCATCAAGTTGAAATGAAGTTGTTAGGGTGGGCCTTTATCCAGTATGACTGGTGTCCTTACAAAAAGGAGAAATTTGGACACAGAGACACACACAGAGGAAAAATAATGTGAAAACACAGAGAGAGGCCAGGTGCAGTGGCTCACACTTATAATCACAGCACTTCGGGAGGCCGAGGCAGGCAGATCACCTGAGGTCAGGAGTAAGAGATCAGCCTGGCCAACATGGTGAAACTCCATCTCTATTAAAAATGCAAAATAAATTAGCTGGGCATGGTGGCAGGTGCCTGTCATCCCAGCTACTCTGATGGAAGGCTGAGGCATGAGACTCGCTTGAACCTGGCAGGCAGAGGTTGCAGTGAGCCAAGATCACACGCCATTGCACTCCAGCCTGGGTGACAGCAAGACTCCATCTCAAAAAAAAAAAAAAGAATTGTACCAGCTCCTGAGAATCACCAAAGGTAGCAGAGGAGGGCCAAGTCAAAGCCACAGAGTGTAGAAGCCTCAGATGAAGTTCAAAGCCATGCAGTCCTAAGGAATGCTAGGAGTCGGTAACACAGCAAGTGAATATCTTTGGGTAGACATGCACAGCTACAGCTGTGGAATAAATTTCCTCCTGAGAGTGAAACTCTACAGTGAACACCAGCTACAGTGCATTGAAGCAGACATTATGCAAACACTTCAAGAGAAAGGGCACTTGGTCTCAGACCAGTGAAGCCTGTGGGTCCTCATTGTGATAGTTTCCATGTATCTGTAGGAAGAGTAGGTCAGTGGCTGGTCAGCATTAGATAAAACTGTCAATAAAGCCAGCTCTGGCTGTGCCCATAGCTCATGGCAAGTCACTTCCTCCAGCTGCTCAGGCCAACATCCGTGGGTCATCCCTGACTCCTCCCACCCTCACAACACCCAGCAGCAAATCCTGTTGGCTCCACTTCAAAACGGATTCTGGGCCTGGCGCTGTGGTTCTCCCCTGTAATCCCAGGACTTTGAGGGGCTGAGGAGGGTGGATCCCTTGAGGTCAGGAGTTTGAAACCGGCCTGGCCAACATGATGAAACCCTGTCTCTACCAAAAATACAAAAAATTAGCTGAGTGTGATGGTGGGGGCCTGTAATCCCAGCTACTCGGGAGGCTGAGGCAGGAGAATGGCTTGAACCCGGGAGATGGAGGTTGCAGTGAGCCGAGATCATGCCATTGCACTCCACTCTGGGCAACAAGAGCGAAACTCCGACTCAGTAAATAAATAACCACATCATTTCTATTTGACATTCTCTCTGGATGTGTACATGCAAATTTCCCGTTTTCCTAAGGACACCCGTCATATTGGAATATCGTCCAGCCTGATGTCTTAATTATGACTTGTTCACCTCTGAGAAGAAACTATCCCCAAATAAGATGACATTCTGAGGTAGTAGGAGTCGGAACTTCAACATGTGAATTTGGTGGGGAGAACGAGTCACAGTTCAATCCATTACAGTCCTACCCAATTGTGAGCTAACAATGGGTGTTATTTTAAGCTACTGAATTTGGTGTAATGAATGGTGTGTGCCTGTAGTCCCAGCTACTCAGAAGGCTGAGGCAAGAGAATGACTTGAGCCCAGGAGTTCAAGGCTGCAGTGAGCTATGACTGCTCCACGGCAGCCTAGCCTGGGTGATCTTGTCTCTCAAACAACAGCAACAAAAACAAAACAAAACAAAACAAAACAAAACAAAAAAAACAGCTGGGCGCAGTGACTCACGCATGTAATCCCAGCACTTTGGAGGCCGAGGCAGGCGGATCACGAGGTCAGGAGTTTGAGACCAGCCTGGCCAACATGGTGAAGCCCCGTCTCTACTAAAAAATACAAAAAAAATTAGCTGGGCATGGTGGCCGGCGCCTGTAATCCCAACTAACTGGGAGGCTGAGGCAGGAGAATCGCTTGAAAACCAGATGGTGGAGGTAGCAGTGGGCCGAGATCGCGCCACTGCACTCCAGCCTGGGCAACAAAAGTGAAACTTCTGTCTCAAAAAAAAAAAAAAAGGGCCGGGCACGGTGGCTCATGCCTATAATCCCAGCACTTTGGGAGACCAAGACAGGAGGATCACCTAAGGTCGGGAGTTCGAGATGAGCCTGGCTAATATGGTGAAACCCCATCTCTACTAAACATACAAATTAGCTGGATGTGGTGGTGCATGCCTGTCATCCCAAGCTACTCGGGAGGCTGAGGCAGGACAATCGCTTGAACCTGGGAGGCGGAAGTAGAAGTGAGCCAGGATTGCACTACTGAACTCCAGCCTGGCCAGAGTGAGGCTCTGTCTAAAAAAAAAAAAAGAAAAAACAAAAGCTGCTAAATGTGTAGTACTGCCCTCTTTAAATCTGTAGATTCCCCCAGAATCTCTTTTTTCTGTCTTGCAATTTTTTATTGAAAAATTTGGGATGGTTAATTTGTATCACTTCCCATAGTCTGGATTTTGCTGGTTACATTCCTGTCGTATAGGTTAAGAAGTTTCTTTTTTTTTTCCTGTAAATTGATCATTGCATAGAGTGTTAATCAGATTAAGCTTTTATGTTTTTGTTAAGACTCTTTCAAAGCACACAGCCTCTTTCAAAGCACACAGCTACAAGGTGTTTGTATATGTGTGTGTATATGTGAATTTGTGTATTCTTTTTTTTTTTTTTTTTTGAGACAGAGTCTGGCTCTGTCTCCCAGGCTGGAGTGCAGTGGCATGATCTCGGCTTACTGCAAGCTCCGCCTCCCAGGTTCACATCATTCTCCTGCCTCAGCCTCCGGAATAGCTGGGACTACAGGCGCCCGCCACCGCGCCCAGCTAAATTTTTTGTATTTTTAGTAGAGACAGGGTTTCACAGTGTTAGCCAGGATGGTCTCGATCTCCTGACCTCGCTATCCGCCTGCCTCGGCCTCCCAAAGTGCTGGGATTACAGGCGTGAGCCACCGCGCCCGGTCTTGTGTGTTCTTTTAAGATGCCTCATGAAACATACTGATACTTCTGATTGAAATTCAAGAGAGAAAATGTTACTCATTCTCTTCTATTTCACATCTGTGACTCCTTTTCCCTACACCAAGAATTCAGTTCTCTGGCCACTGGGGATGATAGAATTTGAATATCACATAATTACTAATTGCTTTGTCCCATGTTTGAAAACCTTCTTAGAATAAAAATGTAACATTACCACTCCATATGATCACTAAAAACAGTTTCAAATTATTTTATTTTATTATTATTATTTTTTGATTTATTATTTTTTTTATATTTTATTTATTATTATTATTATCTTGCTCTGTCACCCAGACTGGAGTGCAATGGTGTGATCTCAGCTCACTGCAACCTCCACCTCCTGGGTTCAAGTGATTCTCCTGCCCCAGCCTCCCAAGTAGCTGGGATTACAGGCGCCCACCACCACACCCAGCTAATTTTTGTATTTTAGGAGAGATGAAGTTGCGCCACGTTGGCCAGGCTGATCTCGAACTCCTCACCTCAAGCCATCCACCTGCCTTGGCCTCCCAAAGTGCTGAGATTACAGGCCTGAGCCACCGTGCCTGGCCAAAAAACAAGCAAACAAACAAACAAAAAACATTTTAAAGATAAGCCCACACCATTTTCTCCCCCTATTTATAGCTCTACTTTATCTATGTTGTTGGCAAACATCACCATTACACTCATGTTCTCTTTTACTCCTCATCTCTTGGTTCTCCATGTAAATGTATCTTTAATGTTTACACCAGGCTAATGACAATGTCTTTTTAGTCTCTTTGGTTGTCTGAAGCTTATTTTCTAGTCAGTCCTCAGGAAAGGCTTTGGGAACAATATTCTCCGGGTTCCTGCACATTGGTGACAATCTGCTTTTTTTTTCTCTTCTTAACTAACTCTGTCACCCAGGCTGCAATGCAGTGGCGAGATCTGGGCTCACTGCAACCTCTGCCCCCCAAGTTCAAGCAATTCTGCCTCAGCCCCCTGAGTAGCTGAAATTACAATAGTGTGCCACCACGCCCAGCTGTTTTTGTATTTTTAGTAGAGACGTGGTTTAGCCATGTTGGCCAAGCTGGTCTTGAACTCCTGACTTCAAGTGATCCACCTGCCTTGGCCTCCCGAGTTGCTGGAATTACAGGTGTGAGCCACTGAGTCCGGCCTGACAATCTGCTATTTTCATACCTAAAAGTTAGTTTGACCAGGCCGGGTGCGGTGGCTCACGCCTGTAATCCCCAGCACTTCGGGAGGCCGAGGCGGGCTGACCACCTGAGGTCGATAGTTCGAGACCAGCCTGATCAACATGGAGAACCCATGTCTCTACCAAAACTACAAAATTAGCTTGGCTTGGTGGCGCGTGCCTGTAATTCCAGGACTGCCCGGGGGTCGGGGCCCTACTGGGTTCCAGCCGGTGGGCGCGGACAGGTCGGTGGGATGGCGGGGCCTGGCGGGTGGTGGGGGCCTTTCTGGGGTGGAGTCCGGGCCTTCCTGGGGAGGAGCCGGGGCCTTACTGGGAAGGAGCCCGCGGCCTTGGGAGCAGGGCCCGCGGGGGGCGCTGGCAGGGCGGTGGGAAGGCTCTGCTTTCTGAATGGGGGCGGGGACTGCCGGAGTTGCGGGGCCTGCCTGAGGTGGGGCGGGGCAGCCTAAGGGGTGGGGCCGGTGGCTGTTGGAGCGGGGCGTGTGAGGGAGCAGGGAGGGCGGTGGGAAGGCGGGGCCTGCGACGTGGAGGCGTGGCCTGCCTGGGGCGGGGCGCGGCGCGGCGCGGCGGGACAGCCTAGAGGCAGCGCGTGGAAGTGCGGGCGTCCCTCCTCTCTAGCGACGTAGCCCGGCGTGAGGGAGTGAAGGCAGCGCATTCGCCAGACAAGAGCGATGGGTGAGAACGCCGCAACAGGTCTCCTTAGACTCCTCTGGCACGGGGAGGCCTCGCGCGAGCGCCCCGCTGCCCACCCACCTGATTGGGACTGTGGAGGAGGGCGGGATGGAGTGGAGGGTTCGCCGACCGCGTCGCCCTCCTAGGTGTCGAAGCTCCTTCCTCGGCAGTCCCGGGGCGTGAGAGCGCGACCAGCCGGGAGGTGGGGGCCCCAGGATGCGGCCGCACGTGGCCTCGCAGGGTTCCAGGAGCCCCTGAGTTAGCCGAGCGTGCGCGTGGGTGTCGGGGGAGCGCGGATCTCCAGCCCGGCAGGGACGGCGGAGGCTGCGAAGGCTACGAGCTCTGGGGGCAGCGGTGGATCCTGGAGTCCCACTACTTGCCCTAAATTTCCACTCCGTCCCTGTCGCCCAATGTGACCTTGGGCATGGCTGCAGCTCCCAGTGCCTCAGTTTCCCGCTCGGTGGAGTGAGAGTGACAGTGGTCCCACCTGCTGCATGTGTGAGGGTTTGGCACCCCTCTGGCCCTTGGGAAAGGCTAAGGAAACTGGCTGTTGACTCTGTTTACTCCGGTTTTACAGGAAAGGAAACTGAGTCTCAAGACATTTTAATAATTTGTCCAAGGTCACCCAGCCAGCAAGTGGTAGGCTCCAGGCCTGACCAGCACACCTGCCCCAGCACATTCTAGAAGGTTCTCACCCAGTTTCAATGGGGTGCATGCTGTGAGGCCTGTCTCAGGTTTTTCTGGCTTAGCTTATCTTTCCCTCCTCTGGGAGTCCCCACACCCATGTCTGGCTCTCTCTCCCCATAACCTTCTGGGGGCAACTAAAGGTCTCAGTCTCTCTGGACATGACCCCTAGCTCAAACACAGCAGGCAGAGATAAGGGGCTCAGGGAGCACCAGCTTCATGGATGAAAGAGAAGGAATGAAAGAGCCGGCTCTGTCTTTCAGGTCTCATCTCAGAGCTGAAGTTGGCTGTGCCCTGGGGCCACATCGCAGCCAAGCCTGGGCTCCTGCAGGGCCTCCAGTTCTCTGCCTGCACGGCTGGCTGGACAATGCCAACTCCTTCGACAGACTCATCCCTCTTCTCCCGCAGGTGTGAGGCTGGGGCTGAAGGGAAGTCCAGGGGGAAAGTGGGCAAGAAGGTGAGGGGGGAGGTCTGCAGGGGAGTGAGGAGGGCGGGGAGACAGCTGGCATAGACACCTCTTCCTGCCCTCCAACCTGCTTCTCTCTGTTTCAGACTTTTATTATGTTGCCATGGATTTCGGAGGTCATGGGCTCTCGTCCCATTACAGCTCAGGTGTCCCATATTACCACCAGACTTTTGTGAGTGAGATCCGAAGAGTTGTGGCAGGTAAGAAGCAGTGTATTTTTCGGCACAGGGTTGCTCTGGGACACCCCCTCTTAGCATTGGAGTGGTGCTAGGATCCAGGAAGCTGCACTGGCCTGGGAGTGGGGCCTGGGCTCTGGCCCCAGGTCTGCCAGCAATTCACGGGAGATCTTAGGAAAGTTGAAAAGTTTGCTTCCTCCTGTGGTTCCCCCAAGCTGGTCTCCTGGGTGGACACCCCAGATGCTGGGAAGGGATTTCCTGAGCCCGGGGAGTAGAAGCGAGAGGGCGGGCTGAGCCTGTGCACAGCTGGACCTTCTGGCTCCTTGTGTTTCCAGCCTTGAAATGGAATCGATTCTCCATTCTGGGCCACAGCTTCGGTGAGTACACTGACCAGCAGCTGACTGGGCCCGGAGTAGGGCTGGGAGGGAAGGATAGGAGCTGCTGCCCCACCGCTTTCCCCTGCGCTTATGAGATCTGCAGAGAGAGATGAGAGCATCAGAGATTGACCACTGCGTCCTCTGACCTCAGGCGACTGCTGCAAGGGACGCAGAGATGAGGGAAATGTGGTCTTTTGAGTGGTCGGGTCTGATGACGGGGCCATCGTGACCTGATAGTGAGCCCCCACCACCCATATGGAGCCCCCCTCTCCCTCCGCCACTGGTGGGAAGAAGCTTTAGGGTTTGCAGCTGGGGAGGGAGTGAGGGAATGTCACCAATGGCTCTTCTGTCCCCCAGGTGGCATTGTGGGCGGAATGGTGAGTAGATGGCTTTGTCTGGCCAACTAGGGGTCCCTCGGGTGGGGTAGGGATGGTAGCACAGAGGAGGAAGGAGAAGGTACCTGGGACAGGAAGTGCCTCCTCCTGTCACAGTAATAGTCATTATACCAGGAAGTTGGTGGAAACGGTGGAGACTTCTGGTAGAGTTAATGTTTTCACGCCCTCCTACCCTGTCCCAGAGCACCCTGGAGTCCCGCCATCACCAGGGTCTGCAGCTCAGTGCTAGGTACAGACTTGTGGGTGGTGGGGGAAGGCACACCATAGGATAGAATATTCTCCTTCTGGCCCCTTGGTCAGCACCCTCCCCGAGCCTAAAAGATGTTTCCGGGAACTCCAGGGTCCCCTGGGAAAGGCGGGAGAGTCCTTTCCTTCTTCCCCCTATTCATTCTCCCCTTCTGCTGTCCTCACAGTTTTCCTGTATCTTCCCCGAGATGGTGAATAAACTTATCTTGCTGGACTCGCCGCTACTTCTCCTGGAATCGAATGTGAGAAGCGGGGCTTTCGTGCGTGCTGTCATTAGGGAGGACCTGCACCCCGGGCAGTGCTCTCAGCCCTGTCTCCTTTGGTGGACACTAGGGAGGCAGGAGGAGGCGGCAGAGGGTGGGAAAGGGGAGTCAGGGACCCGCTCTCCACCAGAGGACAGCTCTCTGCCGCTTATACCCCTAGGAGTGGTCAGGAGAAGGGGTGTGGGGGACCCCTTGGAAACTGGACGTGTGGCTTGGGATCTGCAGAATGCCAGGCTGATCATGCAGTGGCAGGGGTGGAAGAGGGCAGGAGCCATGGCTGGAGGATGTTGTAGGGCACACAGCTGGGCAGGCGCACCGCACTCACACCCAGTCGAATGCCTTTGCACTGTGTACACGTTGCACCACCACACATGACAGCCCTAAAAGTGAACTCATGGAACAAGTACTGACCCCTCTGGCCACGACCACCTGTAACCAGTACTGTCCCTGCATCTGGGTTCTGGCCTGGTTGTTTACCTGCTGGGTGACCTTTGGCAAGTTACTTTGCCTCTCCGGGCCTTAGTTCCCGCTCCTGTAAAATGAGATTGGGCTGAATGACGGCCAGCCCTGACATCCTGTCATTTTCTTGCCAAGGTCTCAGCCTCTCAGTTGTGACACAACTCCCGTCAGTTTCAGTTTTTTTGTCCATAGAAGGACCACAGATCGGCTGGACTCGGTGGCTCATGCCTGTAATCCCAGCACTTTGGGAGGCCAAGGCGGGCGGATCACCTGAGGTCAGGAGTTTGAGACCAGCCTGACCAACATGGAGAAACCCCGTCTCTACTGAAAATACAAGATTAGCTGGGCGTGGTGGCGCATGCCTGTAATCCCAGCTACTCAGGAGGCCGAGGCAGGAGAATCACTTGAACCCGGGAGGCGGAGGTTGTGGTGAATTGAGATCGCGCCATTGCACTCCAGCCTGGATAACAAGAGTAAAACTCCATCTCCAAAAAAAAAAAAGAAAAAAAGGAAAAAAAAGAATGACCACAGATGCCATAAGGGCAAGAATCATGTCCATCTCTTTGTCACCACACCCCGAACCCTGGCACCTAGGGAGGGCTCAGTAAATGTTCCTTGCATGAGCTCAGCTAGCTCAGGGACTATTGTGAGGATCCAGTTCACAGATGGCAGACAGCAGACACTCCCTTCTTTCTGCATTTCACCCACTGAATTGACAAGCGCAGTGCCCCCGGGGGCTTCCTACTGGGTGAGTCAAGAGGGGCATTTGTTCCTCTTGTCCTCCATTCTCAGGAGCAGGTAGATGGGAGTTGCCCCCTCTGCAGCCCCAGGCAGTGGGCCCGAGGCTGTCCTCACAGAGTGAGCCACGCATCCTGGGGGAGCCTGGAAGCCCCAGAACGGCGCCCTTTCCGCCACTCCCTGTCTGCCACTGAGAATGATGGCATTTGTTGAACCAGAAGAAATCACCAACCCCGATGGTTCATGGCATCTGGACCCTAATTTCATGCCTTTGCAAAGCACTCAACAGTTGACAGAGATTCCCCAACCTCCCCATCATCCCACCTGACCTCTTCAAGTGTCCCTGGCCGCAGGCAAGACCAGGCTGGCTGTGACTGAGATGAAACACAGACTGGTTCAGAATCGCAGGACTGACTAGCCAGAGCTGCGCCTGTGTCCACTTTGCTGAGAGGGGCTCAGCGACAGCAGAGGGCAGGGCTGGGAGGGGCGGAGGCCTCGTCTGCAGCCTGGATCCCTGCCCACCCAGCCAACTGTGCCTTCTTAGGAAGTGGAGAACTTGCTGACCTACAAGCGGAGAACCATAGAGCACATGCTGCAGGTAGAGGCCTCCCAGGAGCCCTCACGTGTGTACAGCCTGAAGCAGCTGCTGCAGAGGTGAGTGCCTGGTGTGGATGGGGAGCTGTGGGGTCCACGGGAGGACACCCGGTGAGACGTGGGGAAGCGTCTTTCTCCCTGTCACCCAACAAGCCTGTTTCTCTCTGGGGTCACGCTGAGCACCAGGCTTCCCAGGGTCTTCAGGGACGTTATCTCCTTTCCCTCTGCCCCTGCTCCGGCCATGCCCCTTCCTTACTCCAATACCCTCCCCACACCTCTCAGCCCCCGCCTCTCCCCGAGCACACGCTGCTTCCACGCCTTCTCTCCCCTCTGGGACTCCAGCCTGGGCTCCCTTAGCTGGAATTCTCCCCTGTGCTTGCTCACTGGCTTCCCCACTCCTGGGGGCCTCAGCTGGGAGCCCTGCCCTGACACCCCCAGGCGAGCTGTCCCTCCCTGCCCTGCAGGTAACCACACTGTCCAATAAGAGCCTACTGACTCCCCTGGTTCCCGAGGCCTGTGATCCCCACAACCCCCACTATGGCTGACTTGGTCATGTTTGTGCCTCCTGCATCTGGCGGTGGGCCTGGTAGGTCGGAGCTCCACACATATTTGTTGTCTGATGGAGGAGAAGCCCCCCACTGCCCTACCACACGCACGCGCACACACACACCCTGCCGCCCACTGCCCCACCACACGCACGCGTGCACACACACACCCTTCCACCCACTGCCCCACCACACGCACGCGCGCACACACACACCCACCCACTGCCGCACCACACGCACGCGCGCACACACACACCCTGCCGCCCACTGCCCCACCACACGCACGCGCGCACACACACACCCTGCCGCCCACTGCCCCACCACACGCACGCGCGCACACACACACCCTGCCGCCCACTGCCCCACCACACGCACGCGCGCGCACACACATCCTGCCGCTGTAAACATGCCATTGAAATACGGACACAGTCCAGGTGCAGTGGCTCACACCTGTAATCCCAGCACACTGGGAAGCTGAGGTGGAAGATAGCTTGAGCCCAGGAGTAGAGACCAGCCTTAGCGACACAGTGAAACCCTATATCAAAAAAATAAACAAAAAAATTAGCTGGTCACGGTGGCACACGCCTGTGGTCCCAGCTACTTGGCAGCCTTAGTTGGTAGGATTGCTTAGCCCCAGGAGGTCGAGGCTGCGGAGAGCCATGATCATGTCACTGTACCCCAGCCTGGGTGACAGAGTGTTACCCTGTCTCCATTAAAAAGAAAACAAGGGCTGGGTGCGATGGCTCACGCCTGTAATCCCACCACTTTGGGAGTCCGATGCAGGCGGACCACGAGGTCAGGAGATCGAGACCATCCTGGCTGACACGGTGAAACCCCGTCTCTACTAAAAATACAAAAAATTAGCTGGGCATGGTGGTAGTGGGCACCTGTAGTCCCAGCTACTCAGGAGGCTGAGGCATGAGAATGGCGTGAACCCAGGAGGTGGAGCTTGCAGTGAGCCGAGATCACACCATTGTACTCCACCTTGGGTGACAGAGTGAGACTCTGTCTCAAAAAAAAAAACACATGGGACATATACACCCTTTGTGGGTGACCTCCCTTTCCTCCCTTTCGCTGCTCTTCTCTCCCCTTTTTTTTTTTTTGGAGACCAAATCTCGCTCTGTTCCCCAAGCTGGAGTGCAGTGCCACAATCTCAGCTCACTGCAACCTCTGCCTCCTGGGTTCAAGTGATTCTCATGCCTCAGCCTCCCAAGTAGCTTGGATTATAGGCACACGCCACCATGTCTAGCTAAGTTTTATATTTTTAGTAGAGATGGGGTTTTACCATGTTGGCCAGGCTGGTCTCGAACTCCTGACCTCAGGTGATCCGTCCATCTCAGCCTCCCAAAGTGCTGGGATTACAGGCATGAGCCACCATCCCTGGCCCTCCTCTCCTTTTCATCTGATGTCCTCTGACCTCCTCTTTATTGGCCTCCAGGCACCCAGCATCCTTCTGTCTCTCCCAGGTTACTGAAGAGCAATAGCCACTTGAATGAGGAGTGCGGGGAGCTCCTCTTGCAAAGAGGAACCACAAAGGTGGCCACAGGTAAGGTACTCCGCTGTCCAAGGCCGTTATATATTTGTCACTGTTCTTACTGAGGATGTCAAAGACTTGCCCTAGACTAGGCGGGATACTAAGCACTAGGCAGGATACTAAGATACTAGGCAGGATACTGGCAGGATCTCTCGGCTCACTGCAGCCTCTGTCTCCCTGGCTCAACCCTCCCACTTCAGTCTTCCCAGTAGCTGGAACTACAGGCGTGTGCCACTATGCTCCGCTAATCTTTTAGTTTTTTGTGTAGAGATGGGGTCTTGCTCCATTACCCAGGCTGGTCTCAAGTGATCCTCCCACTTCGGCCTCCCAAAGTGCTGGAATTACAGGTGCCTGACCTCCTGCTATTCTTGCCTGTGTAATTTTTCCATGTGAACTTGAAAATCAGGTGGTTTAGGCCCCCCCATACAAATCTTGTTGGTATATCATATATGTATAGTTTAGTGTTTTTTTGTTTGTTTAATTTTTTGAGACAGAGTCTTGCTCTGTCACCCAGGCTGGAGTGCAGTGGCACCATCTCAGCTCACCACAACCTCTGCCTCCCTGGTTCAGGCCATTCTCATGCCTCAGCCTCCTGAGTAGCTGGGACTACAGGCGCCCGCCATGACACCTGGCTAATTTTTGTGTACTTTTAGTAGGGATGGCGTTTCACCATGTTGGCCAGGCTGGTCTCAAACTCCTGGCTTCAAGTGATCCACCCGCCTTGGCCTCCCGGAATGCTGGGATTACAGGCACAAAACACGGTGCCCAGCCCATATATGTATGTTTAAATAATAAAATAATAATGTTAATAACAGTAATAACCTGTGCACCCATCACACTGCTAAAACAATGGCACAGCACCCGTTCCTTTGAACCCTCTCCAGCTCCTCCTGGACCTCACCCAGAGGTAAACACCTGTCTATTCATTCAGCAAGCACTTTGGGAGCCCCTCCTATGTGGCAGGCACAGTTCTTGGTCCTGAGGATATAGCTGTGAACAAGGCAGACCAAACTGTTTGTCCTTGTGAAAGCTGAACTCTAGCAGAGGAGAGAAGCAGTCAACAGGCAAAGGATGAAGCGCCTTAGAAAGTGCTATGGGGGCTGGGCGTGACGGCTCACACCTGTAATCCCAGCACTTCAGGAGGTGGACAGATCATTTGAGCTCAGGAGTTTGAGACCAGCCTGGCCAACATGGCAACACCCGTCTCTACTAAAAATACAAAATTAGCTGGGCGTAGTGGCGGGCGCCTGTAGTCCCAGCCACACTGGAGTTTGGGGCAGGAGAATTGCTTGAACCCTAGAGGCGGAGGTTGCAGGGAGCCGAGATCACACCACTGCACTCCAGCCTGAACGACAGAGGGGAACTCTGTCTCAAAAAAGAGAAAGTGCCATGGAGAAAAATAAGAAGGGGTGGTGGGGAGGCCTGGCCATGCAGGTATTTGAGAAAGATTTATATGGGGGAGGGAACAGCCCTGCCTCTTATCCCTGTGGACACCTGTAGCTCTAGTCCCCGTGTGTCCTGCTGGACGGGTTCCATACAAACACCCCTCTGTTCATGTCTCCATCCCTTCCGACCGCCAGCAGCTTCCAGCTTGCGATTACCCCCAGGGCCACAGGGGACCCTCTGCCCTTTCTGGACAATCCCATGCAGGCCGTTCTTGAGGGGACATTGCTCGGGAAGGAACTGCCGAGTGTTCAGCCTGTACTTGAGGCTGAGTTGTTGGCCACCATCGGGATGGGGGCAGAGAACCAAGTCAGCACCCGAAGCTGAAGCTGGGCACCACCTAGGCCTCGCAACTCCGCTCATGTTTCTTTTTTCATTCAGTGTCTTCTCAACAAACGATGACACGATTGGTACTTATTTGCTTCTTCCTAGTGACTAAAGGAATGAATGAGTTTCTCAGAGATGAGAGCTCCACTGTACACCCGACTGTCAGCCTAAGCTCCTGCCCTCATTTTGCACCGGCCCTTTGGGGTGGCTGGTGAGGGCCTGTGTGGGCTGACAGGTCCGTGGTCAGGCGGCCATGGTCGAGCCCTGGTCCAGCTGGACCCCAGGATAGGGAGTCGTGGGCAGCTGAGGATGTTGGGGGCAGGTGGGAGAAATGAGCCCTGGCTGAAAAGGCCTAGGGATCCCAGCAAAGTCACGGAGTGTCCCCTGACCCTGACGGACAGCATTGACGCCGCTGTCTTTGTGCTTCTGCCTCCGGGTCTGGTTCTGAACAGAGACCAGAGGCTATCCTGGGTGAGTACCGCTGCCTCTGCTCCCCCCGCCACAGTTTGCCTGTTAGCACTTTTGTTGTTTTTGAAAATTACAGGCTGAGCATGGTGACTCACGCCTGTAATCCCAGCTCTTTGGCTGGGGTAGGTGGATCACCTGAGGTCAGGAGTTTGAGACTAGCCTAGCCAATATGGTGAAACCCGTTCTCTACTAAAAATACAAAAACAACAACAACAAAACAGTTAGCTAGGCGTGGTGGCACACGCCTGTGATCCCAGCTACTCGGGAGGCTGAGGCAGGAGAATAGCTTGAATGGGAGGCGGAGGTTGCAGTGAACCAAAATCGCACCACTGCACTGCAGTCTGGGCGACAGAGAGAGACTCCATCTCAAAAAAAAAAAGAAAATAGGCCGGGCGCGGTGGCTCAAGCCTGTAATCCCAGCACTTTGGGAGGCCGAGACGGGCGGATCACGAGGTCAGGAGATCGAGACCATCCTGGCGAACACGGTGAAACCCCGTCTCTACTAAAAAAAAGTACAAAAAACTAGCCGGGCGAGGTGGCGGGCGCCTGTAGTCCCAGCTACTCGGGAGGCTGAGGCAGGAGAATGGCGTAAACCCGGGAGGCGGAGCTTGCAGTGAGCTGAGATCCGGCCACTGCGCTCCAGCCCCGGCGACAGAGCGAGACTCCGTCTCAAAAAAAAAAAAAAAAAAAAAAAAGAAAATTACATAGGTAACATAATACATAATATTGTCAACTTAACTGTTTGTAAGTGTGCACTTCAGTGGCATTAAATAGAGTCAGTGGAGGTGAGGAGAGGAGGGAGACATTCCAGGCACTGACCGCTGCACAGGGAAAAGCTGGAAGTCAGCTCGGTGCATCTGTTGAGAGCGGGATTCCTGATAGAGGCTGTGAAGAGGGGAGAGGCAGGATGACAAAGTTCTCAAAAAACAGCGTCCCATCTGGAAGCCTGGAAGTGTGTCACTGGAGCACTTGTATTAATAGAAACTTGGCCATCTCTGCCACTGAGGGGCTGTGTGACCTTGGGCAAGGTGCTTACCCTCTCTGAGCCTTGGTTGTCTCGTGCAGAAAGAAGGTGCTTTCATTCATTCAGCTGGTTTCTGAGCAGCTTGGCTAGGGGAGCCACGCCCTGGGCCTGCCTTTGAAGGGTTGTTGTCGAGACTAGGTGAGGTCGTGTGTGTTGAGTGGCCTCGCACACTGCTGTCGCTTCAGGTACTCATGGCCTGTGCTATTTTGTGATTGTTCAAAAATGGTAGAACACTGGACATGTGTGAGACACTGTCATTAGAGGTGGGGAAGCTCTAACTGCAGGGAGACCGCTGAGAGCTGCTGTCCAGGCCCAGGCCAAGAGATGAGGCTTAGACCAGGGTGTCAGTCAATGGTCTGGGAATGTTAATGTGTTTGTCTTTGATCCATGTGGGATTTGTTCTTGAGCATGGTGTGAGGTAGTGATTCATTTTTCTTTTTTTAATGTTTTAAAAGTTCTATTTTTCCTTAATTTTATTATTGTTGTTATTATTATTATCGATACAGAGTCTTGCTCTTGTCGCCCAGGCTGGAGTGCAATGGCGTGATCTCAGCTCACTAGAATCTAGCGATTCCCCTTCCTCAGTCTTTCGTGTAGCTGAGATTACAGGTGCCCTACACCATGCTGGGCTAATGTTTTGTGTATTTTTAGTAGAGACGGGGTTTCACCATGTTGGGCAGGCTGGTTTGGAACTCCTGACCTCAGGTGATCTGAATTTTTTTTAATTTTTTTGTAAAGGAACATTTCACGAATTTTCATATCATGCTTGTACAGGGGCCTTGCTAGTCTTCTCTATGTTGTTCCAATTTGGCAGTATATGTGCTACTGAAGCAAAGCACCCACATTCTATTTATTTATTTATTTATTTATTTAGACATCAAGTCTTACTCTGTCATCCGGGCTGGGGTACAGTGGCCCAAGTTTGGGTCACTGCAACTTCTGCTTCCGGGGTTCAAGCAATTCTCCTGTCTCAGCCTCCTGAGTAGCTGGGATTACAGGCGCCTAACACCATGCCCAGCTAATTTTTTGTAATTTTAGTAGAGATGGCGTTTCACCACATTTGCCAGGCTGGTCTCGATCTTCTGACCTCAAGCGATCTGCCCGCCTTGGCCTCCCAAAGCGCTGGGATGACAGACGTGAGCCACTGCGCCCAGCTTAATTTTTGTATTTTTAGTAGAGACAGATTCAAGTTTGCCTGTTCCTCTTGTGCCCAGAAAGCCCCTCCTGTGCGCAGGCCCGAAAGGCTTGGCCACACCCCGCTGTGAGATGTGGCAGCTGCCATATGAGAGCACGCAGGCCTTGAGGACAGTATGGGAACCCCTGTTTCAGGAAAGGCATCTCAGGTCATTTTGGTCTGAGAAGCAGAAAATAGCTGGAGGGCCAGGGTGGAACCAGGGCAGTGAGTTTTCAAGGGTGTGTGTGTTCATAGCCATAGCAATTTTATATTCAGGATGCTGGAGGTGGAGGAGTATCGGGTGTGATTTCATGGAGCTGGTCCTTACGGGAGCTTCCTGGAATTAATCCACTGAGCATGCATTTATGAAGCTTCTCCTCTGGCAACAAAGGCAAAACTCCGTCTCAAAAAAAAAAAAAAAAAGGCTCTATCAATTGTTCTCATATTTTTATTTAACATCCACGATGTGATTTCAGATGTAATCAACATAAAACTTGACTGCATTATTTTGCATGCTGTTTTCCAAATCCAGCTTCGTGTCATACCTACAGCACATCTCACTGGAGCTGGCCACATCCCCACCATCCAGATGTGAAATAGTCAAAAGACAGGGCAGGCAGGGCTGCGGAGGAGGCCTGCAGGGGCCATGATGGAGTGCCCATCCTGTACTGTGGTCCCAGCAAGTTTCTTCCTGCTGGCAAGAAGCCTGTCCCAGGCTGGCAGGGGACAGCGTGAGGTGCAGCCTGCGGACTGGGAAAGGGGTGTGGAAGGGCCACGCCTCAGTCCTAAAATCCAGGCCCAGAAGTGGCCCAAGTCACTTCTCTGACTTTAATCACACAGGCATACCCAGTGGCAAAGGAGTATGGGAAATGGAGTCAGGCTGGGTAGCCAGGAGCCCAGGAAGAGGGGAGAACAGACTTGGAGAGGGCAGGGGTCTCTGGCCACCAGGGGCTAAAGAGCCTTCGATGAGGCGGTGATGTGGTGGGGTCCTGGGCTCGGATCCAGGGTGGATGGCTAAGGTGCCCGTGCCAGGGCTAAGCTGCCCCAACAGACATGGGTTTTGAGCCCACAAGAGTGCCTGTGCCTTGTGACGAGAATTCACCATGCTTTTGTCTCTGCAGCCTGAGAACAGCTTTGACTTCCTCAGCAGGGAGCTGTATGCGCATTCATCAGGAAGCTGCAGGCCCATGTCCTGTTCATCAAGTGAGTCTGGACCAAGTGCCCTTCAGTTACCCCCAAAAGACACATGGGCGCCAGGAATCTCCGGGAGGCAGCCCTGGCATGAGGCTCCAAGTTCTCTGTGTTGACCACACTGCTGAGGCTCAAGATCTTTTTCGGGAAGCCCCCCTGGCAGCAGGGTCATGGAAGGAGGAAGGTCAGAGGAGGGGAGGGCTCAGGCAGCAGGGGATGGGCCAGGGCTGTCCCACACCTTTTTTTTTTTTTTTTTTTTTTTGGAGATGGAGTCTCCCTCTGTCGCCCAGGCTGGAGTGCTGTGGCGCAGTCTCCACTCACTGCAAGCTCCGCCTCCCGGGTTCACGCCATTCTCCTGCCTCAGCCTCCCGTGTGGCTGGGACTACAGGCGCCCGGCTAATTTTTGTATTTTTTAGTAGAGACGGGGTTTCAGGCCGGGCACGGTGGCTCAAGCCTGTAATCCCAGCACTTTGGGAGGCCGAGACGGGTGGATCACGAGGTCAGGAGATCGAGACCATCCTGGATAACACGGTGAAACCCCGTCTCTACTAAGAAATACAAAAAACTAGCCGGGCGAGGTGGCGGGCGCCTGTAGTCCCAGCTACTCGGGAGGCTGAGGCCGGAGAATGGCGTGAACCCGGGAGGCGGAGCTTGCAGTGAGCCGAGATCCGGCCACTGCACTCCAGCCTGGGCTACAGAGCGAGACTCCGTCTCAAAAAAAAAAAAAAAAAAGAGACGGGGTTTTACCATGTTAGTCAGGATGGTCTCGATCTCCTGACTTCGTGATCCGCCCAGCTCGGCCTCCCAAAGTGCTGGGATTACAGGCGTGAGCCACCACGCCCGGCCTGTCCCACACCTTTCTACAGGTGTCAGCAGGGGGCATGCCCAGGTAAGGCTCCATGACCAGTGAGCGCAATGTCTGCTCACTGCAACCTCTGCCTCCTGGATTCAAGCGATTCTCCTGCCTCAGCCACCCAAGTAGCTGGGACTACAGGTGCCCACCACCACGCCTGACTGACTTTTGTATTTTTAGTAGAGAGGAGGTTTCACCATGTTGGCCAGGCTGATCTCCATCTCCTGACCTCATGATCCACCCGCCTTAGGCTCCCAAAGTGCTGGGATTACAGGTATGAGCCACCATGCCTGGTCCACCACAATGTTTAAGCCATAAAAAGAAAGGAAGCACTGACATGGGCTCCAGTGTGGATGAACCTTCATGCTAAGCAGACGAAGTCAGACACAACCGTCTACGTGTTGTATGACTGCATTCACGCTCAAGTCCAAATAGGACACACTGCAGAGACAAAGCCAGTTCATGGTAGCTCAGGACCAGAAGCCTGTGGGGGGTGTGTGTGTGTGAAAGCGCAGAGGTTCGGGACTTCATTGGGGGTGATGAAAATGTTCTGTAATTGCGACGATGGTCTCACAACTCAACATATTAAAAACCATGGATTGTAGACTTTCAATGGGAGGATTGTAAAGACGTAAATTCTCTCAGAGCAAGTGTGGACTCCAGAGCCTGTTCAGATCCCAGCTCTGCTATTCAGGGCTGTGACTGTGGCCAAGTCCTGAACTCTGTGCCCCAGCAGGGCTGTACCTTAAGCACTCGCTTGCGCCTGGCTTGTGCCAGCTGAGTGTGAGCTGAGATTAACTGAACCTCAAATCCAACCCAGGGTCAAGGGACCCAGCTGTGGGAGGTGGGGTAGCCCAGGTTTTAGTTTCTCCTCAGAGGCCTGAACCCAGGGCAGGATGAGGGCAGTGCTGGGAGGAGGTTCTAAGATGAACCCCAACAACCCCAACTCCTCACTTTCCAGAGCAGTCCACGGATATTTTGATGTGAGAAGAGAGAATTACTCTGACAAGGAGTCCCTGTCGTTCATGATACACACGCTGAAGTCCACCCTCAAAGAGGTAAGGCGGGGCTCAGGGAGCTGGTGTCCGGCCACTGTCACCCACTCTGGTCCCACCTCACCCATCTCTTCTCGTGCACTGGGAAGACCCCTGGTCTGGCCCCAGGCCCAACAAGTGACCACCAGGATCTCTGAGGCCTCACGCTCCACTGTGGTCAGTCCCTAGAGGCCTGGGGACACATGTCATCAGAATTCAAGAAACAGAGACCTTTGGTGGGGAGATTCTTTTATCATCCGCGAGTACCCACCCTCCTTCCTGGGCCAGGCACAATTAGGTGACCCAACTGCCAGAGACAGGCCCACAGTTTTTATTTTTTGAAACAGGGTCTCATTCCGTTGCTCAGGCTGGAGTGCCGTGGCTCAATCATAGCTCACTGCAGCCTCAAACTCCAGGGCTCAACTGATCCTCCCACCTCAGCCTCCTGAGTAGCTGGGACTACAGGTGAACACCATCATGCCCAGCTAATAGTCCTACTTTTTTTTTTTTTTTTTTGAGATGGAGTCATGGAGTCTCACTCTGTTGCCCAGGCTGGAGTGCAGTGGGCAAGATCTTGGCTCACTGTAACCTACGCCTCCCGGGTTCAAAGAAACTCTCCTGCCTCAGCCTCCTGAGTAGCTGGGATTACAGGCATCTGCCACTATGCCCAGCTAATTTTTATATTTTTAAGAGACGGGGTTTTACCATGTTGGCCAGGCTGGTCTCAAACTCCTGACCTCAGGCGATCTGCCCGACTCGGCCTCCCGAAGTCCTGCTTTTGCAGACAGGAGCCACCATGCCCAGCCTAGTCTCACATTTTATAGGCTCCCAAACCACAGCAGAACATCTGGCTGCCTCTTCCCTCCGCACCCATCGCGCCAGTGGGTGTGCTGGCTGTAGGTGGGGGTGGCTGTGCCCGGGTTCCTGGGAGCACCTGGTGATTCATGGTCACTTACCCTCAAACACCTCACCCTGGGGCCTCTGCAGGTTTCCTGGTGTTGTCACAAAGGGAGGAAGCGCACCTGTGGCTGGCTGGTCACCTGGTCAGAGCCAAGGCAGGCAGGGCCTTCCTGTCTGGCTTCTTGAAGGCAGGCACAAGTCTGCAGGCTGCTCACGCCCCCATCTGATTATTTTTTCTCACAGGGACTTCCTCTAATACAATCACAGCAACCCTGGCCTCGGCCCCGCCCTGTCCCTGCCATGCAACTTCACAACTCAGCTGGGAGGCCTCCAAGTCCCCAGGGCTCACACACCTCCTGGGGTGCTATGGACTGACCCGGCTCCAAGGCATTGAGTGTGTGGGAAACTCACCATGGGAGGTGCTCCTGCCCTGCAGGGAGCCTGAAGGCTATGGGAGGGCCCTGACCCCAAGGCCTATGGAGCTCCCTAGGCTCCTCTGGCCACACCTCACCACACACCCTCTCCTTTCTCCAGCGGTTCCAGTTTGTGGAAGTCCCAGGCAATCACTGTGTCCACATGAGTGAACCCCAGCATGTGGCCAGTATCATCAGCTCCTTCTTACAGCACAAACACATGCTCACAGCCTAGCTGTAGCTCTGGGCCTGGAACTATGACGACCGCAACAAGGCCAGGCCTGTGGGGACATGCCTCACTGGTCTTGACGCCCAGCCTAGGGTGTAGTCAGGGGAAGGAGTGAGACTCCAACTTCAACATCTGTGACCTCAAGGGGGAGACAGAGTCTGGGTTCGGGGGGCTGCTGCCTCCTGGCTAATAATCTCCAGCCAGCTGCAGGGAGGAAGGGCAGGCTGGGGCCACCTAGCCTTTCCCTGCTGCCCAACTGGGTGGAAAATAAAAGCTTCTCGCGTTCTCACTGCTTTCGAGGCTGTTTCGTTACCATCAAGGGCTTTTCCATTGAGGGAAAAGGGAGAACAGAGCAGATTCATCCAGGGTCCTTGACAGGAGGGTGTGGAGGCAGGATGCGGAAGGGGCAAGTCCTCCTCTGGGCACGCCCAGGTCCCCAGGACTGCTGAAGCCCAAGACCCGAGGGGTGGCCTGGCCCTTACTCCTGGCCTGTGTGGACTCTCATGGGGCTGTTGTACGTGGTGGCCTCAACCTGGGGCCCGTTTCCCAGAGCTCGGCCTCTCAGAGATGGCTGCAGGCCCTGCCTCGCCTCATGTTTCTCCAGGCCCTGCACCTCTAGCCATCCACTGCGGCTCTCGCGGCTCAGTAGGGTCGGAATTTGCGCTGGGCCCGCAGCAGCTCGATCCTCTGCTTGTCCTCCTCGAACTTCTTGCGCAGCTGCGCTAGATCTGGGGGCGAGAGGAGGCGCAGGGCAGGGTCAGACAGCACGCCCCCGGGGCAACCGGCTTGCTCATGCCCCACCCCTCCTCCCAGTTATTGTGGGGCGCAGGGGCATGTCTCCCCCACCAACCCAGCCCCCTTCCCAGCTCTGCTTTGGGGGTAGGGTCTGGATCCTGTAAGGAATCAACCCGACGGCAGGCCGAGTCCAAGGGCAAGGCCAAAGTGGGAGACGCTGGCACCCCGAGCCTGGAGATGAAGCCCTAGAAACAAAGCAAAGGCATCCGCCCCCACCCCGACCCCTGCGCAAGGGGGAAGGAAGGAGTCCTGACCGCTCGGCCTGGAGCGACCCTGAGACTTGGTAAAGGGATGCCACCCCTAGTGCTGGTGAATGCCGATGGCAACTCTGGCACCGGGTGGCCTAGGTCAGTGGCAGGCTGATGGCATGGAGGGGGAAGCTGAGGGTCTAGAGCGAGCACAAGTGGGAGCCAAGAGGGCCAGCGAGGCAGGGAAAGCACCAGTGACTGGGCGGATGGCTCAGGGCCTGCTGCAGAGCCCCTCCCTGTGCCCTAGCCAGGGCAAGGAGACTCCTGGGCCCACAGGAAAGCTGTCCTGTAGACAGGGACACCAGGCAGTGGGGCAGGAGGCTCAGCTGCAGCACCAGGAGTGGGTCACAGGTGATCAGGTGCACAGCCAGGAGAGGGTCCTGTGCAGGCCACCTGACACACACCCCCGCACACCCACACACACCACCACACACCCGCACATCCCCACACCCGCACACCACACACTACTACACACACCCGCACAGCCACACACACCACCACACCCCTGCACACCCACACACCCGCACACCACATACTACCACACACACCCGCACAGCCACACACGGGCACTGTGCAGGGTCACCTGACACACAGCACAGACACAGACACACACACCACCACCACCACCACCACCACCTCAACACACATATTCTGCAGCATCCTCCCTGCACCCACAGTGGGTTCGGAGGCCCCCTCTGCACTCGAACTCCTTGCTGGCTGGAGGCTGACCAGCGCCAGCACTAAGTGCACAGGAGCCCAGAGGTGGGCACTGATGACCCAGGGTCCCCACCCATTGAACAAATGCATCTGCCCCGGGGGGTGATGGGGGACCGCCACACCGGGTGCTGCCAGGCTGGGCCTCTTTCCAGAGCCTAGTGGGAGCCCTGTGCTTAGGGACGCCCTCCCTCTGTGACCAGCAGGTTCAGTGCCCGCTGTCAGGAGCCCTGGCCAGAGGCCTCATCCATGGTTGGGGCCAAGGCCGAGGGGCCTGAGGATGGGCTGGGCGTGGCTTACGCTCCATCTTGCTCTCCCGGTGCTGCCAGGCATAGAAGTTGAGCAGCTCCTTTCGGGCGCGCTTCCGTCTCTCCCTCTCCAGCACCCGCAGGCTGGCTGCTTCAGTCCGGGGGAGCACAGGCCGTCGGCCCCGGCGGGTCACCTTCACCCACCCCTCCTCGTCAGGGACCCCCTCCTCCTCCTTGGCCTTAGCTTCTTCCTGAAAGGAAGGTGATCCTGTCGTCCAGTCGGCACCTGGGACCTCCTGCAGCCTCCAGCAGCACACCCTCCACGCCCTCCATCCTAAGTCAGAACCGCCCTGAGCCCCTGCAGGGGCAGGCTGCTCCCCTCCTCCCAGCACGATTTTGGGCTAAATGGCGGGGAGGGCACGGACCTGCCAGCGCTGCCTCCTTCTCCACTACAGACCATGTGGAGACTAGATGTGTCACCCAGCCAGGCAGCCCAGGATCCAGCAGGGAAAAAGGGAGCCTGGCCTCTACAGAGTGGCTAAGGACAGGCCGCCACCGCCCTCCCTCTTGGGCGTCACCTTCCCACAGCCACACAGGTGATGGGGTGCTCGGCCGACCCTGCGGAGCCTCTACCTCAGCGATCTTCTGGTCATACGCCTCCATGAACGTGTCCACTTCCACCCTCAGGGCCTCAGGGTCGGGCACGGAGTCTGCGTAGTCACTGATCCACTCTGAGGAAAAGGGAGGCAGGGAAATGGGGCTTCCTCAGGCCTGGCATTTGGGCCCCACCCCAGGGCCTGCCAGGCTAATGGAGACCTTTTCCCACAGGGCCCGGGGCGCAGGTGCTAAGGAAACCCCAGGGGCTGCAAGCTGGGCCCTCACTTTGCCTGCCCAGTATGCCTGTGCCACTGTGCCAGGGACTCAGGCTAATGACTCCCTGGGGACCCAGACACAGCCCCGCAGTCCTCCTGCCCAGGCCTCCACATGCCACTCTCAGGGAGCATGGACTTGGCTGGTGACATTCAGACACTGTCCCCATAGAGTGTCCTGCCAACCCAGAGCCCAGAAAGGAGGTGCCAGTCACCCCCTGAGGTACTAACTGTGAATGCCACTCTTCACAGGGTGGCTCTCTGTGGACACCAGCAGGGGGCCCTTCAGGGCCAAGGCCGCTGACACCCCACTTGGCTTCTGGAACACCACGTAGGCTACCTGGAACCCCTGAAGAGAGAGACAGATGTCAGAGGCTGGGGGCGCCTCCGCATGTCTGGCACAAGGTCTCCAGGCCCGCCCTCAGCCTAGCCGGTGGCTACACCAGGGGAGACAGTGCTAGGCTATTTCTGAGCCATGGAGAGAACCAGAGGCCATCCCATAACCCAGGTCAGGGGCAGCCACACTTCCAGTGATCCTGCTTCTGCGGGAAGTGACAGCTGTTCCCAGCTCTTCCTCAGGAAGAGGGGACACACAGGCTGCCTTTCTTCCAGTCACAGGAGGGATGCTGTGACACGCAGGGGTCGCCCTGGGCCAGGGTAGGTTTTTGGAAGCCAGGCCTGGGCACACACCATGCCAGATGCCACTGTGTGGGGAGGAGGTGTGGGCTCCAGGGCCAGTGGGAAAGCCGTGAAGAACAGTGCTCCTGCAGACCCGGCCCCTAAGCCTGGGGAAGGAGCTCCCTCAGCGGGGGAAGCAGGAGGGCAGCTGGGGGAGGCCCCGCAAGCGCCCAGCAGAGACGGTCCCTGAGCATTAACACAGGATGGAAAAAGCCAGGCAAGAAGTGCAAGGATATGGCAAATCTGGGAAGGAATAACAGGCTTTGTCACCTGGACAGCCTCCTACACCACACACGGTGAGGATGGGCTCAGGACCAGAGAATGCTCTGACGTCCCACTGCCAGCTCCCCCAACACACTGGGGACAATGCCCCACCCCCCTCACTCTAGTGGAACCCCGTGCTTGGCGGCTCACCGGAACCGGCTTGGGATGAAAAAACTTCGACCTTGACTCCTTTGGGCTCTCGGCCAGGTCCGGCTTCTCCTGCAACTCTACAGACTGGACGAGGCCACAAGAGGACAGGAGGCGGGACAGGCTCTCCTGCCGCAGGGAGAGGGAAGTCAAGTGTGAGCATCTGCAGGGGCATCCGAAAGCCTCCCTCCACCATGGGTGGCACTGCCAGGGGTCCAGCGCCCCTGAAGAACTCAGAGCCACAGCCACATCTGCCCAAGCCAGGAGCCTGTGGGCACCATGGCCTCCGACCTGTTCTGCAGGGATAATATGGAGGTCAATATTCCTGCTCTTTCTCTTTTTTATTTTTTATTTTTTTTGAGTTGGAGTACTGCTCTGTAGCCCAGGCTGGAGTCCTATAGCGTGATCTCAGCTCACGGCAACCTCCACCTCCGGGTTTCAAGTGATTCTCGTGCCTCAGTCCCCCGAGTAGCTGGGATTACAGGCGCCCACCACCACACCCGGCTAATTTTTGTATTTTGAATAGAGATGAGGTTTTGCCATGTTGGCCAGGCTGGTCTTGAACTCCTGACCTCAGGTGATCCGCCTGCCTCGGCCTCCCAAAATGCTGGGATTACAGGCATGAGCCAGAGTGCCCGGCATATTCCCACTCTCTCTCATTGGAGACAGGTGGGGACATTCTTGCTGTTATTCTGATTTTCTTTTTTTTTTTTTTTTTTGAGACGGAGTCTCGCTCTGTCGCCCAGGCTGGAGTGCAGTGGCCGGATCTTGGCTCACTGCAAGCTCCACCTCCCGGGTTCACGCCATTCTCCTGCCTCAGCCTCCCGAGTAGCTGGGACTACAGGCGCCCGCCACCTCGCCCGGCTATATTTTTGTATCTTTTAGTAGAGACAGGGTTTCACTGTGTTAGCCAGGATGGTCTCAATCTCCTGACCTCATGATCCGCCAGTCTCGGCCTCCCAAAGTGCTGGGATTACAGCCTTGAGCCACTGCGCCCGGCCCTATTCTGATTTTCTATGACAAATTTTACTACCTGAATCAGCAGTAGTGACCCTATGCTGTGACAGTCAGGACGGTGGTTATCGGTGGAGGAGGCAGCAGGGGTTCTGGGATGTGCTGCTGTGTCTCTACCTGGGTGCTGACTACACAGGTATGTTCTGTCTCTGGGATGCAGCGAGCTGGACACCTGCCACTGGGGCCCTTCCCTGTACACATGCTGCACTTCAAAAAAGGTCAGAACTCACACCCCCTCTTCTACACGCTTCTTTTTTCTCTAAGTTTAAAGGAATGTTTTAGAAATTAGGGTTTCTTTTTTGAAAACTAATCCAGGAATTCCCTTGGCCAGGGGCGGTGGCTCACGCATGTAATCCCAGGACTTTGGGAGGCTGAGGGGGTCGGATTACTTCAGGTCAGGAGTTCAAGACCAGCCTGGCCAACATGGTGAAACCTTGTCTATACTAAAAATACAAAAATTAGCCGGGCATGGTAGTGGGCGCCTGTAATTCCAGCTGCTCGGGAGGCTGCGGCAGGAGAACAGCTTGAACCTGGGAAGCGGAAGTCACAGTGAGCCACGATCGCTGTGCTCTAGCCTGAGCAACAGAGGGAGACTCTGTCTCAAAAAAAAAAAAAAAAAATCCAGCAATTCCCTTAGTTTAGTTTTTGTAAAAAAAAAAAAAAAAAAAAAAAAAAAAACAAATTAACAGTTGTGTTTGGATAAAATTAGAGGCACTTTTCATTTTTTTATACTTTCCTACTTTCTTTTTTTTTTTTTTTTTTTTTTTTTTTTTTTGAGACGGAGTCTCGCTGTGTCGCCCAGGCTGGAGTGCAGTGGCCGGATCTCAGCTCACTGCAAGCTCTGCCTCCCGGGTTTTTACGCCATTCTCCTGCCTCAGCCTCCCGAGTAGCCGGGACTACAGGCGCCCGCCACCTCGCCCGGCTAGTTTTTTGTATTTTTTAGTAGAGACGGGGTTTCACCGTGTTAGCCAGGATGGTCTCGAACTCCTGACCTCGTGATCCGCCCGTCTCGGCCTCCCAAAGTGCTGGGATTACAGGCTTGAGCCACCGCGCCCGGCCTACTTTCCTACTTTCAAATTATGGACACGTATAGTCTCAAAGAAAACACGTAATTCAAACAACTTCGGGTAATACGTAAAAAAACCTTGGGCTACTTAGGATTACACTTTTTTTTCCTTTTTTTTGTTTGAGTCAGAGTCTCACACTGTTGCCCAGGCTTGAGTGCAATGGCGCGATCTTGGCTCACTGCAACCTCCGCCTACCAGGTTCAAGCAGTTCTTGTGCCTCAGTCTCCCAAGCAGTTGGGATTACAGGCGTGTGCCACCATGTCCGGCTAATTTTGGGGGTTTTTTGGGTTTTTTTGAGATGGAGTCTCACTCTGTCACCTAGACTGGAATGCAGTGGCGCAATCTCGACTCACTGTAACCTCCGCCTCCCGGGTTCAAGGTATTCTCATCCCTCAGCTTCCCGAGTAGCCAAGACTACCTGCACACGCCATCATGCCTGGCTAATTTTTTGTTTTTTAGTAGAGACAGGGTTTCACCATGTTGGCCAGGCTGGTCTTGAACTCCTGACTTCAGGTGATCCACCGGCCTCAGCCTCCCAAAGTGCTGGGATTACAGGCATGAGCCACCATGCCTGGCAGGATTATACTTTTAAAGACATCTTTGAAAAGCCAGTTTCCTGACTGGAGATCAAGGTAGCCCTCTGGACACTCTCCTCTGGGGCTCCCATTAGCTGTGTCTGTCTCACCACCAAGGACTTGGTGGAGGCCAAGGGAGCCCCCACCTAGAGCCCACAGGTCCCCTCCCAGACACTAGCTCACCTCTGTGCAGTATGGGGGCACATTGAGGACAAAAAGAGTCCTCTTCTGAGGCCAGGTGGACTTGGTGCCTTGTCGAACGCCGTGTGCTCTCACATAGAGGTAGTGAGAAGCCTGCTGCTTTTCGGAGAACTTGATTGGAATAGCTGGAAAGGAAATGGGAGGGGAGGGATGGCCAGGCTACCCTGAGCTGAGGTCAGCAAGACATTCACACAACTTCCTTTCTCCACATCCCTGTCTAGTCCTATCTGCTCATCAATCCATCCATCCCTTCACCAACCCCCCGACCCTACCCTTTGGCAAAGCCTGTGCGGGCTCTAAGAGTCTGCCCAGGAGGGCCTCCCAAGGTGGTGCAGGGAAAGAGAAGATAAATGGGCAATGATTACAGATGGGGGCGCAATGAAAGGGAAGCTCGAACCCTGCGGCTCTTGGAGTGAACACCAAAATCCTAACCGTGGCTGGAAGCTCCGTGAGACCCTGCCTGCCACTGTGGCCTCTTCTCGTACCATCTTCCCCCACCACCTTGGATTCTCCCTGTTCCCCTGGGTACACCAGGGCCTCACACACACTGGCCTCTCTACCTAGTGCATCACCCTCTTCCCTCCTGCTAACCTTCAGGTTTAGCTCAAACCTCGCTTCCTCAAGAGAGCCTTAGCATCACCCTCCGCCCCTCCTGCCAGGTCAGACCCCACTGCCTGTGCCTTCACAGCTTCTCTTAATAGTCTGTAGGCTATACTGATGAGATTCTTTGGTTAATCACTGCCACACCCATCACTGTAATCTCATAAAGCTAGGAACTGCTTCTATTTTTCTCACACCTCCGTCAGACTACCGGTTGGCATAGAGCTGCGGTCCCTGAACTCAGGAAGCTCAGTTGCAATAACGGAGAAGACAATTACCAAGTAAGCATACAGCAAGCTTGTATCAATTATGAAAGAAACATTACAGGGTCATGGGGTGGCAGAGGTCTTCTTTCCATAGGCTCTCAGGGATGGCCTCTTTGAGGAAGCAACATTAAAGCTCAGAACAGAAACGCCACTGTGCAACAAACTGTTACAGCAAGTGCAAAAACCCAGAGGGGGAAAAAGCATGTTGCCTCAGATGAACAGAAAGAGCTTTAGGTCAGCACCAGTCAGACCATGTGGCCCACACAGGTTAAGAAGTCTGCTTTTTGTTTTAGAAGCGACTTGATGAAGCTACTGGAAGGAATGCAGTGGGTGTGGCGCCTATCGTGGGCGTGTGAGACATGCTCTAACTTAAATGGCCTTAAAAAGAACATTCTGGTACGTGGGTGGAGAACAGAAGCAGGGGCAAGAGAAAGAGGAGGGTAACCAAGTAGGAGGGCCCGTAACAGCCCAGTAAGAGCTGATGGGGGCTGGACTAGAAGCAGAGGCGATGAGAAGGGGATGGGCTCACCTGGACGAGCGAATGTGGACGGAAATGGGTTTGCCCTGGGTGAGAGGTGCACAGTAGTGGGCTCACCCAAGGGAAGCGTGGACCAAGACAGGCTCGCCCCGAGAGAGTGGGCAAGCAGAAGGGCGCCGCGTGGGTCCTCGGGACTCCGAAGCTGGGGCCAGAGGCCGCCGGAGCTCACACCCAACCGTGCGGCCGCTCCTGGGGACCCCCGGCCGCCGCCAACCCCCAAACACCTCCCGGCGATGCCTGGCCCCCCGGTCTCGCGTCCCGGAGCCCCTCACCTGCGTAGCCCGGTGGGCTGGGGATACAGTCCTCCGGGTCCCGCGCCGCGCGCTTCCTCCTGCGCGCCACCATCTTGCCGCCCGGGAGCGCAGGGGCCGCCGGGAGTTGTGGTTCGGCGCCGGCGCGAGCGCGTTTCCGTGGCGTCTGTCCCGCCCCCTGGCTCCAGGCCCGCCTCTCCGGCCCCGCCCGCCAGGGCCCAACCTTCATCAGCTCAGAGTCAAATCAGCGCGCGGAAGTGGGAGGGAACGTCAGCGTTGACCCCGGCCAGTCACGAGTGCGAACTCAGCTTTCCACTCATGCATTCACACCTTGAATAGACAGTGTGAGAGAAATCCAGGATGGCTGCTAGCTTTTCAGTCGAGGCAACTAAGAGGATGGTGTTGCCATTGACTGAGATGGGGAGACTGCAGGAGAGGGGCCAGCTTGGGGAAAATCGAGTGGATCAGTTCTCTGTGGGCCATGGTGAGACGCCCATTAGGTCTCTCAGGGGAGATGTCAGGTGGGCAGTTTGATATGAGACTGAACAGACTGAACATCAGAGGTGTCAGGCCTGGAGCAATACACCTGGGACTGGCCGTGGATAGGTTACTGAAAGTTATGAGAGGGGCCGGGTGCGGTGATTCATGCCTGTAATCCCAGCAATTTGGGAGGCCGAGGGGGGCAGATCACTTGAGGTCAGGAATTACAGACCAGCCTGGCCAACTTGGTGAAACCACGTCTCTACTACGTACAAAAATTAGCCGGGTGTGGTAGCGCAGGCCTATAATTCCAAATACTCGGAAGGTTGAGACAGGAAAATCGCTTGAACCCAGGAGGCGGAGATTGCAGGGAACCAGATCGCCCCACTGCACTCCAGCCTGGGCAACAGAGAGAGACTTCGTCAGAAAAGAAAAGAAAAGAAGAGAAGAGAAGAGAAGAGAAAAAGGTAGGAGACGGTGTGATCGCCAAGGGAGCAAGTGTAGACAGGGGAGAAAAGAAGTCCAAGGACTCCACTTATCTGGACTCCAAAGGGCCTCTCAGACCATGTACCCACCAGCCCTTGATATATCTACTATTTCTCTTCTCCCAGTGTACAGTTGCTTCTTGGAAATGCTGCCGGCCCTTTTGGGGAAAATTAGGAGACTATTACTGCAAATCTTTGTGGTCTCGAGGGGACCCAGCCTCCCTTTCAGTCAGTGACCTCCGGGTCTGAGGCCTAGCTTAGGCCTGGAAACTGGGTGAGGGGTTGGGATTTTCCATCAGCAGCTGCCATTACTGTCCTGTTTGCTTGTTTTTTCTTTTTGATCTTTCTTTGCTTAGAGCAGTCAAGCAGCGTCAGGGCTGCTGTGGCCCCTGGGAATACTGTGGTCCACTAGCCTTCACCAGAGACTCCTATTCATCCAGGCTCCCTGGCAGCCACTCTGGCCTTGCTCCTGTTCTGACAGTCACATCAACCGAACCTCTGCTCTCTGAAATCCTATCTCCTGCTGACCCTTCCAAGTCCAGCTCCAGTCCTATTTGCTCTCTTATACCCTGGCCTCAGAGGATGGCCATGCCGATTGCCCAGTGATGCCTAGACCCCTCACTAGTGAAAGCAGTATCTGGTGAACCCTCCAGAAATACGGTCAGCTGGCTTCTCAGATCTTGCATAATAAATCTGTACCAGCACATCCCCCTCCCGGAGGCCTCTGGCTCCTTCTCAATGCCCTTCCACGATCGTTCTGTTATCTCCCTCTCATGTATTGCTTCCACACTTCATGGAGCCATCTCGGTGGGATATCAGGACTGGTCACAATATCACATTCTTTTTTTTTTTGAGATGGAGTCTTGCTCTGTCACCAGGCTGGAGTACAGTGGCGCGATCTCAGCTCACAGCAACCTCTGCCTCCTGGGTTCAAGCAATTCTCCTGCATCAGCCTCCTGAGTAGCTGGGATTACAGGTGTGCACCACCATGCCCAGCTAAATTTCTTTTTTTTTTTTTTTTTTTTTTTTTTGAGACGGAGTCTCGCTCTGTCGCCCAGGCTGGAGTGCAGTGGCCAGATCTCAGCTCACTGCAAGCTCCGCCTCCCGGGTTCCCGCCATTCTCCTGCCTCAGCCTCCTGAGTAGCTGGGACCACAGGCGCCGCCACCTCGCCCGGCTAATTTTTTGTGTTTTTAGTAGAGACGGGGTTTCGCCGTGTTAGCCAGGATGGTCTCGATCTCCTGACCTTGTGATCCGCCCGTCTCGGCCTCCCAAAGTGCTGGGATTACAGGCTTGAGCCACCGCGCCCGGCCAATTTCTTTTTTTTTTTTTTTTTTTTTTTTTTTTGAGGCGGAGTCTTCACTCTGTCGCCCAGGCTGGAGTGCAGTGGCACCATCTCGGCTCACTGCAAGCTCCGCCTCCCGGGTTCGCGCCATTCTCCTGCCTCAGCCTCCGGAGTAGCTGGGACTACAGGCGCCCGCCACCGCGCCCGGCTAATTTTTTGTATTTTAGTAGAGACGGGGTTTCACCGTGTTAGCCAGGATGGTCTTGATCTACTGACCTCGTGATCCGCCCGCCTCGGCCTCCCAAAGTGCAGGGATTACAGGCGTGAGCCACCGCGCCCGGCCAAAATTTCTTATTTTTAATAGACACGGAGCTTCACCATATTGGCCAGGATAGTCTCGATCTCTTGACCTTGTGATCTGCCCACCTCGTCATCTCAAAGTGCTGGGATTACAGGCATAAGCCACTGTGCCCGGCCTTTTTTTTTTTTTTTTTTTTTTTGAGATGGAGTCTCACTCTGACGCCCAGGCTGGAGTGCAGTGCTGCCATCTCAGCTCACTGCAACCTCCACCTCCCGGGTTCAAGCAATTCTCCTGCCTCAGCCTCCCAAGTAGCTGGGATTACACACATGCGCCACCATGCCCAGCTAATTTTTTGTATTTTTAGTAGAGACGGGGTTTCACCATGTTGGCCAGGCTGGTCTCGGTCTCCTGACCTCAGATGATTCACCCACTTCAGCCTCCCAAAGTGCTGAGATTACAGGCATGAGCCACTGCACCCAGCCTAGAGTTCAAGACTCTTGAGCCCATCTACCCTGACGTCCCTGCCCTAGGTGGCAGTGTTCCGCTCCTTCCCTTCTGTGCTCCTCAACTGGAGCACAGGACCGGCAGAGCCATTCATCTGCCCTGATTCAAACGCTGCAGTTCTCATCAGGTCCTAGGCCTTTGTCAGCACAGTGTGACCTGTCTTTAAACACATCTCTGGAAGCCCCTCCTGATTTTCACCTTGGGCCATAAGTTGATCAATGGCTATCCTGAGGCCTGTTGTTTTTTTCCTTCAGCACACTGATGCCACTCAATCAATTCACTCCACTGTCTTTATAATTACCACTGCCCATGTATTTCGTGGGTTAGGAATTTGGGCAATGCTCTGCTAGGAGATTCCGTTGCTCCCTGTGGCACTGACTGAGGCCATTTGATGGTATTCAGCTGGCATATGGGCTGCACTCAAGGTTCCAAGTCACTTCACTCACACATCCGGCATCTCAGCAGGGATGGCTGGTGATAGAGTTTGAATATTTGTCTCTGCCCAAATCGCATATTAAATTGTAATCCCCAATGCTAGAGGCGGGGCCTGGTGGGAGGTGTTTGGATCATTGGGGCTTCATGGCTTGATGCTGTTTTTGCGATCGCGAGTTCTTACGAGATCTGCTTGTTTAAAAATGGGTGGCTGCTTCACCCCCGCTTTGTTGCTGTGGCTTTCACCATCTGAAGTTGTTGTAATGGAGCGAGTTATGGAGAAACGCCACACTTTGAGACGAATTCAGGAGTCCTTTATTAGCTGGCGACCGGGAGACGGCTAGTGCTCAAAATTCTCTCGGCCCCGAAGAAGGGGCTAGATTTTCTTTTATTCTTTGGTTTAGAAAGGGGAGGGGGCAGCCTAGCTGTAGCAATCTTATGGAAGTAAAACAGGCAATAAAAGTTCAAAGACAAATAGTTACAGGAAAGGAAACAGTTCTAGGTGCAGGGGCTTAAAATCCATCACAAGGTGATAGACGCTGGGCTTTGGGTGCTACCAACCGGACGCAAACGCAGGGGTTTGGTACCATCAACCGGGCGAATTCTTGGGAACTATGGACACAGCTTGCCACAGCATCTTATCAGTTAACTGCATTCTTTGATGTGCTGGGAGTCAGCTGGCACTAGTTAAGTCCTTGAGGAAGGGGGTGGGTAAGGAGCCCTTAATATCTTGGAAATGAAGGAGCCAAATGGAATCTGTCCAGCTTTCTCAGCTAAGAGAGAGTCAATCAAGTTCATACAAGTTAGGGTATCACATTCCCCACTTGTGTTTTTGGAGAATCAAATCATTGATTCCTCGGTTATAACAAGGGGGTTATATTGGGCTTTAAGATACATAAGCTTAACAGAAGCTATGTGTTGCTTTAGAAAGTTAAGAAACCAATTTAATATACAGGGCCCGAAGACTCAACCTAACCGTAGGAGGAGGAGAGCTCCAGTTAACTTAGTGATTAGAGTAGTTAGCCATGGATTCCAGTTAAACACATTTTGGTACCAGGGGGTGTTACTTTCTTGTTCTCTCTGGCGTCTATCTAGATTTTCTCAAACTTTTTGAGGAGTATCATGTATGACCTTAGATTGGCACAGAAACAACAACGCTTTCTTAGAGCCGCGCATAAACCTCCTTGGGAGAGGAATAGCAGATCTAAACCTCGGCGGTTTTGAAGAACTACTGCAGCCAGAGACTCCACCTGGGTATGCAGTATATTTATGGCTGACTGGAGGTTGCTGCCTTCTAAGTAGTGTTTGCAAATGCACGTCCTGTAGTGAAAGAAGTGAAGAGGAAAGAGCAGGGTGGAGCAGAGGGCATACTAGGCGGAAAGAAACAATAGAAGTAAATAAAAAGAATTAATCTGATGGCTTCACTCGACTTAGGCGTGGTTTTAAGGGGCCTGGCCCAGGCTTAGGGACCTATGTTTCTTGTCGGGCTCTGTTGACCTTTTTGATGCGAATGATGAATCTAAGCCGGAATGCCATCCACTTTCAGAGCCGTCAGTGTGGTGAGGATGACAGTATGAAGCCCTTTCCAGGCAGGGGTGAGTCCTTCTTTTTGCAACTTTTTAACACACCAGGTCACCTG